GAAGTATCCAAAACTAATTTTTGTTTCTTTGGTTAATATTATCTTAAAATATACAAATAAACTAAGATATTGGTAAATGATGTGGGCAATTGCTATTGTTACATTATCACTTCCGAATAAATCCAGGTGATTTGAACAAATGTAAACAGACTGAGATTTCGGAAGGTATAACATCAAGTGTAAAAATACATTATACGTGATAATGACGCTTAAAACTACAATTTGATGTAATTTTAAGAAGAAAGATAATTTAATTTCATTTTGATGTTGGCATTTATAAATGTTTTGTATTCCGAATAGCCTCAAAAAATTAATTGTCGGAGAAAGAATTTCACAAGAACACATTTCTGGGATTTTTTCTCTTAAACTCGGCTCCATATCTGTGAATGACTCTGGAAAATAAATTGAAAAATGATTTAATAATAGAAAATTATTAATTCATGTAGAAATTTCAAAACTTTCATAAAATTTAATAACATTAAATTTTATATAACTAATGCAATGTATTGTAATGTAAAAAATGCATATGTGTACCGAGATTACAAAAAACATTGTATAGGAATAGAGAAAGCGCTGTTTGGCCACTTGATAATGTAATTTTGTACTAAACAAATTCTACGTATCGGTAAATGTGTAAAATATAAGTGCAAAAATCTTACTAGTGTCACTGAGATTTGATATGAAGAGAGGCTTACTGTATACTGTATGTACTGTATGCATAGTCGTCATAATAATTATACAATGAATTGAAAATAGAATAATATTCATCAATAAGCTTAGAATTATCGACAAATATTATGTAGACAAATGAAATTTCATCCACTAAGTAATATAATTTCTTAATAATAAAATTTTAAGTTATTGTTTGTATATCAGTTGCATTAATATAAATCTATATATATAATCCAGACGAGTTGATAATGATAATAACAATAATAATAAGCGCAGAGCCCAAACGGTTAGGAGTTGAAAGTTGAAATTTGATACACAGTTAGGGTACGTTACGAGAACGCACACTAAGAAGGAATTTTTCGAAATTCCTTCCCACGGGGGAGAGAGACAGGATTAAGGCTTAACACTTCCATCAACAATGGAAGTGTTAAGTAACAATGGAAGTTTTAAGTAACAATGAAAGTGTCAACAATGGAAGTATTACGTAACAATGGAATTGTTAAGAGAAAGCGACGTGCAAGACGCAGATGCAGTTTTTTCCGTTTTTGCGNGTACGTGATGGAATGCATAACTTTTTTTGTTTCAACAACGTCTCATCCAGCACAGTGGTTGTAAACTCTGAAATATATTTTACGTAGTAATCAAAATATAACTTGACATACGTATAAATAATTTATATTCAAATTACATCATTTCTATGACCAAGGGCGGCGTAAGACATGGACGACGTGTGCCACCGCCTATGCCTCGCGGTCCGAAGGTTTATGCATTACTTAAAAGCCGCGAACGCGACGAAAAAATTTTACTCGTCATAAAACGATAAATAGTTTTTCAAATTTTTATTCATAAAAATGCAGTTTCAACTGCTTTTTATTTTATAAAATCCGTCATCTTGCGCCACCAGAGGGCCTTTTAAACAATAGGTAGTCTGTTAGCGTTGGTTAGTAGTAGTCCAAATTCAATACGAACGTTTGTTTCTTGAAAATTTGATCACGATTTAAATACAGTATTTACTTTTAATATTACCGATATGTCATCGAAANAGTAGTAGTCCAAATTCAATACGAACGTTTGTTTCTTGAAAATTTGATCACGATTTAAATACAGTATTTACTTTTAATATTACCGATATGTCATCGTGGAGGAAACGTGTTGTATTATCATTAAAAGACAAATTAAGTATTTGTTTCAATTATCCGGTTTTTCCTTATCCGGACTACCTTCATCCCCAATTAGTCCGGATAATCGAGGTTCTACTGTATTTCAATTAATTCAATTAAGTCAGATAATCTGTTTTAGATTTCCTTATTATACAAAAATACGTGTTTGACAGTTTTAATTAAAATTGTTGTCTCTCACCTATTCTATATCTATAACAATTCTCAAGAAAAAATTTGAATAACATTACAAAAACTTCCACTGTTACTACTTAGAAATCCGCTTATTATTGTAATGATGATTTGCATAGTTTTTGGCTCGTTTCGCCTGTTCGACACTCACAAAGCCTTTATTTTTGCATTTCAATCCTGAGTTCAGTCAGGACGACAATATGACGACGAAATAATGAAAGACAAAACACTCTATCCAGTTAAATAATATAAATTAAATACACAATATAGAAATACCGGGTACCGGTCCTAGCTTTTTTAATAAAATTACAAATTACATTTAATGTTTCGAGAATATATGTAACCACGTAACGATACCTGCAAACACTTAAAAACAATAACAACAAATAAGAAAAATCGGACTTCAAAATAATCTGAATGAATTATAATTTATTAAATCGAGGTGCATAAATCGTCAAAGTATTTTCTACTTGTGTGCATATTACCAATTTAAAAAAGTTTTTTTTTTCGATAATTTATATCAAGAAGATTTTAATATCGTAGTATGTATAGGACATTATCTGCTGTTTGACAATATATATGTGAAATTTCTTTGTACACAACGTGTGACGAAACAGTTATCTTCTAAGTTATAATTACAGTGATTAAGGTGATTTACTTTACCCACAATGCTTTGGCTTTCTCGCTTCTTGTATACCTTTCACAGTAGAAAAAAAAGAGATTCCACTTTCCAGCATCTGAAAAGTTTATTTTTTGATAAATCAAATTATTAACCTAGAACTTATAATAAAAGACTTTTAATTGCGCGAATATTTCATAAAAATTTATTTTAAAAATATATTTGAAATCATTATACTTACTTGAAAAAAGGACGATTTCTCAAATACGAAATCCAAACATTGTAATCCACATTTCGGTCCATCAAGGTACTTTNTTCACGACATTCTTTATAACGCATAGCAAAGTATTTAAGGAACTTTGATAAGTCGTATCTATCTGGCCGAAAATTAAAAACATCCTCCGATAAACTATCAAATTGAACTTTTATTATAACTAAATTCAATACAAGTGTTGCTATGAGAAAAACTCCGATTCCATCATTAAGAAAGTAGTTGATGTTCACCATAAAATAGCAAAATCCGGCATTGTATATATTCGTAGATCCTATCATTTTGGGAAATAATACGAATAAATTCGTAATATTTGTGTATATACAAATAGCTGAATATATGACTGAAGTATAATTAATAAGTGACATTTGTAATTTTTGTACTAGGCATATTTTTTCGCCGTAGAAGTATCCAAAACAAATTTTTGTTTCTTTTGTTAATATTATCTTAAAATATACAAATAAAATAAGATATTGGTAAATGATGTGGACAATTGCTGTTGTTACATTATCATTTCCATATAAATCCAGATGATTTGAACAAATGTAAACAGACTGAGATTTCGGAAAGTATAACATTAAATGTAAAAATACATTGTACGTGAAAATGACGCTTAAAACTACAATTTGATGTAATTTTAAGAAGAAAGATAATTTAATTTCATTTTGATGTTGGCATTTATAAATGTTTTGTATTCCGAATAGCCTCAAAAAATTAATTGTCGGAGAAAGAATTTCACAAGAACACATTTCTGTGATTCTTTCTCTTAAACTCGGCTCCATATTAGTGAATGATTCTGGAAAATAAATTGAAAAATGATTTAATAATAAGAAATTATTAATTCATGTAGAAATTTCAAAACTTTCATAAAATTTAATAACATTAAATTTTATATAACTAATGCAATGTATTGTAATGTAAAAAATGCATATGTGTACCGAGATTACAAAAAACATTGTATAGGAATAGAGAAAGCGCTGTTTGGCCACTTGATAATGTAATTTTGTACTAAACAAATTCTACGTATCGGTAAATGTGTAAAATATAAGTGCAAAAATCTTACTAGTGTCACTGAGATTTGATATGAAGAGAGGCTTACTGTATACTGTATGTACTGTATGCATAGTCGTCATAATAATTATACAATGAATTGAAAATAGAATAATATTCATCAATAAGCTTAGAATTATCGACAAATATTATGTAGACAAATGAAATTTCATCCACTAAGTAATATAATTTCTTAATAATAAAATTTTAAGTTATTGTTTGTATATCAGTTGCATTAATATAAATCTATATATATAATCCAGACGAGTTGATAATGATAATAACAATAATAATAAGCGCAGAGCCCAAACGGTTAGGAGTTGAAAGTTGAAATTTGATACACAGTTAGGGTACGTTACGAGAACGCACACTAAGAAGGAATTTTTCGAAATTCCTTCCCACGGGGGAGAGAGACAGGATTAAGGCTTAACACTTCCATCAACAATGGAAGTGTTAAGTAACAATGGAAGTTTTAAGTAACAATGAAAGTGTCAACAATGGAAGTATTACGTAACAATGGAATTGTTAAGAGAAAGCGACGTGCAAGACGCAGATGCAGTTTTTTCGTTTTTGCGGGAAATCGAACATATTTTAGACACATCTAAAAATTCTCTAATCAGTCCGGAAACAGAGGGACCCAAGTCTTGCATTCTATGAAAACTGGTAAGGTTGACTATAACGTAATAATGTTAATCTTCCCTATCGTTACTTTTGCCCGAGCAACGCCGGGCCTACCTGCTAGTAAATAAATAAAATATTTATAAATAAAAACTAATAGACTTATTATTATATTAAATAATAGATGTAAAATTTAAAAAGAAAATCAAATCATTCAATTAAAAAGAATTCGTCGTATTATTTATTAACTTTGAACACTACACGTAAACACAAAATACTTACTTATTTTTATTATATCACATGGTGAACTGTAATTTAAAAATAAACTATTTTTTAAAAAGTTTGAGACGTATTTCTTTACGTAAATGCACTAAGAAGTAAAAAATAAATTTTTCTCGGTTTTCTCACTATTATTGGTATTATGCGACCAAAAATAAAGGCGTGGGTTTCTCATAGAAAACCCGTAAAAAAACGTATAAAATGTGTAATTATAAATATTTATAACCACGTGAGCTCTACGTTTTCATTTATGGTCGTAAAATTCAAGAATACTGTGCAATGAGAACAAAATTGCAGCCTAAATAACAAGCATAAAGCAGACAGATGGAAACGGCTGTGTATCTGCTTTTCCTTCCATAATCTCGACAATGGAATGAGATAGAACAGAAATGCAAAGCTTAGGGCCCAGGCCTCGATTAACTTCACAGTATAGCGTCGATTATCCGAAACGTCAATTATTCGAAAGAATTCCAGTTGGCAAATTTAAATTTCACTAGTGTTGTGGCGCTACAATTTTTGGCTATGTCTTGGGCTACTCAAATATTTTACGTTTTTGATACTAAATTAACTTCTGAAGTATAATTTTTTTGTTTTTATAATTTTTAATATATTTATTTTGTTTGTACAAAATAAAAAAATAATTTTTAACGATACAATAGTCTTCGTTAGGCTTAACATCTACGAAAATTCAACGCGAAGCGACACGCAACGTTGAAAAATTTCAAAATGGGACATATTAATATATTTTTTCGTACGTAATCGGTTATCCGAAATAGCGATTTTTTCCCCCGAACAACCCGTCCCCAATTGATTCGGATAATCTACGCTCTACTGTATTCAAATTTCTGGCCCACATCGGGTTCGAATACTTAAAATGTTAGTTTCGTGACTGAAAAATCTTTATAAAGATAAAACACTTAAATTTGTAACTTACCAATAAGATTCTGGTTTACAATTAATCTGAAACCACTCTATTATATATTCTGTATGATATTTATCCGCTCAAGTAGAGTTTCGTAATACGAATGATTTGACTCTGTCAATATTCAACTGTGCAGCAATGCAAAATCGATAAAATACCTTCGCTAAACTTAACAAATAAACAAAATTTTCTAAAATATAACAATATTTTAGTAAATAAATAGACACGGAGAATAATAATTTATTTATAGAGAGAAGATTGTTCATTTATTTAATATTCAATTATCTTTGAAATTATTTATATTGTACAACAAGGCATGAAGCTAACTTTTATTATTTCTCGAATTCTTTTATAAACATTATTATAAACATATAAAAATTATATACTTATAATAAATATAGTCTTATATAACACAAATTTCTATTTTATATAATATTGAGGAATTCTGAAATTGAAAAATCAATCTACAGTGGGTGATCGGTTAACGAACATAATCCGTTGTAAGACTGTTCGTTATCCGAATCGTTTGTTAATCGATTATCGATTTACCACGGGTTTTTATGGGAATTTGATTAATTCGTTCTGGAGACCTGCAAAAATAAAAACAGAAATATATCTTTTCTTACTACGTTTATTCATATGTAATAATAAAAATACATATACACACGGTCTTGCATTTTTATTAGTCATGTTTTTTTCGATAGTCTCGCGAATACTATAAAAAATTCTTTCTGTCAGAAAAATAAAAGGCTGGAATTACAAGGGTGAGTTTCAAAGTTCGGAGGAATACTATTCGATCAGTATATACCGTGTTGAGCGTCGATGAAGACGTCTCCCGTGCTCCGAAAAGTTTCGAATTTGCCTGAAGTTTGCCTGAAGACAAGGGAAGATCAATCGGTATTCATTATTTTACGTCGCTTCTTCATGTGTTTGTTCTGTGAGGTGTTCGTTATCCGAACATGTGTTCGTCGTCCGAACATAAAAATCTTTCTCGAAAGTGTTCGTTAACTGAACTGTTCGTTAACCGATCACCCACTGTATTACGGAAAAGAGGATCTTTTAGTTAGGGTGTCTAAGTCCGCGTTCAGTAAAGCGGGGTGCTAAATTAGAAATCAAATTACTTAGGAGGTCGGAACTAAGAAGTAACCTAAGTATCCTTTAATGATGTGCCAAGTTGGGTCACTTAGTGCCTTTCTGAGGCCAGTTTCATTTTAAAATAGTGAAACTATCGGCATCCCATCAAAATCTGCCATTATATTTTTCATTTATCGTATTGTTTCCTTTCTAATAGAATCATTTTAATTTTTAAAGTGAAATACTCTAATTGAAATTAATTCCTGTTATGACTTAATGCGCATTAGGTATTCGTCTAAAGTAACCCATTGTTTAAATGCATTGTTGAATATTTTTATTGTTGGCGCCGTATTTTTGGAGGAAAAACTTCCGTTTTCTTGTTTTCGCCTGTTTTTTTTTTAATTTTGTGTAAAAAGTTTCGATAGAAGTAAGTAAACTATGATTTTTGATTTATAAGAAATCAAAATGGAACGACGAGCGATAGAATGTTTAATTCACACGTATTTAAAGTATTATATTTCAAATTTAATTTAACACATGAAATTGTTTTGAACTTTTAAACTCAATTCATTTACTAAATTATACAAAGCAAAAGTTATATTTCAGTTTAAATATAATAGATTTTCTTGAAATTAGTTAGATTATTATATGCTTTAGTTTATGCAGTAATAATAATACGTTAAGTTTAATGTAGTATACAAATGTTTGTATGTAATAAATTTATAATTTCAATTATTTTTAAACTATTTAATTATCGTTAAATAGATGTTTTTTAAATGTGAATTGGGACGAATGAAACTTCACAACTGATGCTGATCACGTGTAGGGTTGCGTTTTTTTTCCAACTCTCACTTGTCAGTGAAACTCTGACGCAGCCACCTTCCCTTGGTTAGTTCTGTGTTGCCATTCTTCTGGAAATAACGAAGGGCAAGCGAAGAGTTGCGTGTTTCTGTTTAATATATTATTATAAGAATGTACGAGAAGAAACAATACACGTAGAAATAACAGAAATAACAAGCAGTTATTTATTATGACGTTATAATGTTCTCAATTCTAGTAGTGTCTTGTGCCTGTACATCGTAGTTTCTCTGTTAACGATAGAATTACATTGGATGCAAACAGGAAATTCGTATATAGTTTATGGAGGAGGTCTTCTTCTTAAAGCTTTTCGTATTCGGTTTTCGTTTTTCATGTATTAATTCCGTTCTCAAGATTAACAAATGACGGACAGGCGGACATTGGGAATATATCGGTCGCAGTTTGAAAATTACAGCCAATAATAATGGTTATTTACAATTATAGACAGGAACTGTGTTTAAATAACTTACATTTAACTTATATTTACAGTATGCACATCCGCATTCATATTTAAAAATTTTTATTTATGGAACATTCAGACAAACATGAAATTTCATATTAATTTATTATGGCTTTTATACAAAATAGGCATTTGTAGAATGTGAAAATGCTCGACAAGTTTGTTAACGCAGTAAACGCCTCAGCCGCCATTGGAGAACACAATCTGAGTCTGGAATTTTAGTAATTTTCATGCGTGATCTGTCACCGATAGATCTTGGCCCAGTTCCTTATCAACCGACCGTCCCTGGTTTGTGCTTGGCCGAAACTACAATATGTATGATTGGAAAACTATTAAAAAATATATAAAATAATTTAAAATACAGTATATGCTTTTAGTTATATAATATAGCTTCACGGATACTAAGTTTGTATTTTTTATCCATCTAAGTTAGATGGTTAAAAATCCGGATTAAATCCGTAAATATGTTTCGTACATGGTTGTTTATGACTGGATTTATTACTGTATAAATACGTTTTTGGACTGGATTTTCTCAGTTTAAATGACAATTAGTAATTAGAAGGGTTGCGGCCGAAGTTTTCATCTGTAAAACGTGGACGTCGAACGTTTAGCGCCGCTTACAAGAACGGCGCTCGACGTTCGACGTTCACGTTTTAAAGATGAAAACTTTGGCCGCAATCTCGCTATTACATTAACTAGAAAATAAATGTTAAAAACATTAAAATATATTAGATAACGAGCTATTATTTATTGTGAGATTATCACAATGCAGGACTGAAATTTTTATAATATTGATATATGTTTTTAACCCCACATTAGTAATATTTTGCCCCTGTATGTAATACTTTTCCTCAATAGAGTTATGCGGATCACTTACTAACTGCTTCCAAGGAATGACTTGCGTAACTTTTTCGTAACTTATTTTATTTAAAAAATAACTTTTATTAGTCTTAGCTTTAAACGAAAACTCATAAGACTCCAATTGTCGAGAAATGCAAAACAATTCGGGGATTTTTCAGAATGTATGGATATTAGTGTGAGGGGGGGGCACGATTTTTTTAACCTCTTTGAAGCTTAATACCTCCTGTGCTTTTTGTCGAAAATTTCTGAAATTTTGCAGGGAGATTTGTACATTAGGCCCTTTGATGCGCTTAAATTTTGAGGGTTAAAGGTCGAAGGGGTGGGGAGATAAAGGGAGTCGTGTGTATCTCGGTAAGGTCGGACTTAATGGCGATTTTACTCGTTATTAGCATCTGCAATTTTTATAAAACCCATCGCTTTTTTTAAAATTAAGCTTTTTGGCATTTTATAATAATTAAAAATATAAACATTTTTAAGAATAAAATATCTTAACAGATGGCGCCAGACACGCAATTTTACGTGTTCTCAGGAAAGTCGAGCAACTCGTTGCTGTATTTGTTTTGTTGGTTGTCAGAAAACAAATTACTGGTTCCTTAGAGATTATTGTACAGCATTGTGCTATTGCAGTAATTGTTTCCTTTTACAATGCACAGTAAAATGTACGTACTGCAGCTAGTCGCTTGTCTCAGTGTTAACTTGGACGTACCCCCGATGGAGGAGAAGGATTAAATAAGGCAATGAACGCTTGGACAATCTCCGAAAAAACACTACCTCCTGGGTTGTCTTTCTACGAAAAGTTGGCGGTTAATGTTACCTATGGTTCCAAGATGGCGGCGCTTAAGTTAGGCTAGGTTAGGTTAGATTAACTATATTTTTAGTAGACGTTTCCTTTTTTTTTATTTTATTCAAGAACTAACGTGAATCAATAACTAGTGACGTTTGGCACGATGCGGCCTGCCGGCGGCTCCTCTCCAGGAGGAGTCCGTCTGGACCACGAACAGTCGGAAGCTCGGCCATCTTGGAACCATAGGTAACATTAACAAAATTGGCTGTTATTTAGTTGTTACATAGGTTAAGTAATTCCGAAAAAGTCCAGCCCACGACTGGTGATTAGTGATTTTATCCACTTGAACTCTGGTGAGCGAAACCCACGATGCGTATGATTTAAAATGGCTTCAGTATCCGTGGGTCGGAAAGTCTCGATAGAAAATTTTATATTAGAACAATTTACTTATTAAATTTTTAACATATTCTATAATTGAATTTCTCTTCTAATCGAAGTGTAAAAATAACGCTGTAAAATATTGTCATTTATAAATGTTATATAATAAAATAAAAATGATGTTCCGCTTTTCTGATATCTGTAATCTGCAATTTGCATTTTAAATCAATAAAATATTACTATTGGTCTAATTTACTTCATTATCTATTTAACATCTGTAACATAATAACAAAATTTTTCATAAATAATATATTGCGGAAATAATACGTTTATCATAATGATGTAAAATATTGTCATTTATAAATGTTATATAATAAAATAAAAATGATGTTCCGCTTTTCTGATATCTGATCTGCAATTTGCATTTTAAATCAATAAAATATTACTATTGGTCTAATTTACTTCATTATCTGTTTAACATCTGTAACATAATAACAAAATTTTTCATAAATAATATATTGCGGAAATAATACGTTTATCATAATGAGAGTGTTTTCTGTAACACGTTAACAAAGAGTTATTGAAATTAGTTCACGTATTGAAATATAGAGAAACAGCCGTGCAAGCGGCTGGTATTTGTAAATTAGAGCTTATAGTGGAAAATGTTAATTATATAAACTCATTTGTAAATATTGAAAATAGGATTTCAGATATTATTTTTAATGCCTTCGAAATGGTAAGTACTTTACAGTACATGCATACGGTGTCGTCTTAACGCATTGGCACGCTGGGCAATTGTTTATTGGTCTTAATTGTTTACTCAGTTTAGAATTTTGAGGGAGAGCCGAGTGAAACGGATAAAAAAGTTTTTAATGCGAATTTAATAAAATTCCCACCTTATGTAATCGTTTATTCATAAGCAGTGTAGAAATAATAGAAGACACGACACAACATATAACTTATATAAATAAAAAAATGAATTTTAATTAAGAAAAGACTTTTGAAAATTTTGTGGTGTTTATTTTCTTTCTTCTTTGAAAAGTGCCATAGTCACATGGCTCACCACAGAGTGCCTCAGGCTAATTTATGTACGGTCCAGAATTTAACACTAATTTTCTGATCACCACCAGTTGAGCCCTGTTCACTGCCTTGCCCAAGGATCTATAATGCTTTTAAAACAGCCCTTTATACATAACGTATACTAGAGCTTTATTTCAACTTTTTTCAAATATTCCAAATGAATTTCGCTATATTTTGATAATACCACGTATATGATTCACAAACAACAACAGCTAGAGAAATAAGAGAACAAGCAAGCAAATTCGATAAAAATTTAAAATTTACATGTGAAGAGAAATAAATTACCTTGATGTTACTATTGGTATTGCAAATGTTATTAACCTAAATACGGGTATGAATGTAGATGCATGCTGCAACGAAATAATCCAGTATAAAGGAATAACAGATGGTGAATGAATGTATCCACTGATGAGGCCAGTTAAAACTAGCGAAATGCATTTGGAATATTTGAAAAAAGTTTGAAATAAAGGTCTAGTATACGTTATTATTTGGTTTGTTTGCCTTGAAAAATTACTTGAAATCGGATATAAAGTATATAATATTATTCGTTAACAGTCTAGAGATACTCGTATTTTATTTTTAGATTTAACATTTTAAATAACTTAGATTCGCTTCTCTTTACTGAGCACTATAAAGAAACAAACAAATATAAACATAAGTTCTATGGGTTCAGGCAGCAGAAGTATAAATTTTTTCATTTCAGTCTAAAACGAAACGAAAATTAATTGTTGGATTTGGATTATGTTTCCTCTTACTTTTATTCTTTTATTGTTTCTCTGAAACATATAACGACGATGATAAAAAAATAGACGAAAATGGTAAGTTTCTTTCTTAAAATAGCATTAGTTAGAGTCGATAAGATTTTTATACGAATGTTTTTATTTCAGATGAAAAAAGCGAGAAATTAAATATCTTTTTTTTCGAAACATCTGGTGCTTCTTCTTTAAACATTCGTCAGATTTGCGCAGTTGAATCGACGGCACGACACAATCCTTCAGCAAATATCACTGTATTTATGTTTACTTCGCGTAACATCAAGAACGATTTACTTAATGTGCACATGAGAAGAATGTCATTTGAAGAAATTTTTGTAGGCACTCCATTAGAAGATTGGTACTTTAAAAAAGAGTGGAAAAAAAGCAAATACAAAACACATCACTTAAGCGATGCCGTCAGATACGCTGTAATTTGGAGATACGGAGGAATATATTTAGATTTAGACATCGTCATGTTAAAGCCTTTGCCTTTTACAACTAATTTTGTAGTGAAGTCGCGTAAGAACAGTTTATGCAATGGTATTTTTGGAATGCAGCGCCATCATTCTTTTTTGTATGACTGTATGAAAAATTTATCAGAGGAATATAAAAGCGATTGTTTTGTGTGTGTTGGTCCACGTTTCTTCACTAAACACTTTTTATCGTATTGCCGTAGTAAAAGTGTAGAATACGTTGAAGAAAAAGATAATTGCAATATTACGATTTTACAACCGATTACCGTTTTTCCAGTACCATACAGTAGCTGGAAATATTATTTTACGAGTTTTAAGACTATAAATGTTCTTCGTAGAATGAAAAACTCTTATATGATTCACGTCTGGAATAAATTCTCTTCTGGGAAAAAGTTATATATTGGTTCTGGAAGTAGCTATGAAATTGCAATAGCGCAGAATTGTCCTCATGCTTACTCTGAAGCAGTGAATAAAGGGGAATTTTAAATTTGTGAACAAAATAAATAACTGAAACACCGTTTTCTCAAACTTTTTGCTCGCCGACATGTTTGTTTGTAATGGTTCTGCGACATATTAAAAATTATTTATTGATTTACTTGTGAAAAAACTTATTGGTTATTTACTATTTACAATTTATTGTTATGTATGACAATAAAACTAAGAGTTTGAATAAACAAGGAAACATTTTCTCTCTCTTTTGTTTGACGATTCCAGAGCGTAACTTCTATGGCTCTGCACTATACTTTTAAATCCAAATCTCTTACTACTTGATGACTCTTCGGTTCCTCCTATTGGTGTTACTTCAAACAAACGTGGGACGTCTCTGTCATGCATTACGAACCTTGGGATATCTTTGAATCTGCTTAAAAATCTCCAAAGGATTACATTAAAAAAAATTTTTTATCTGGGTATTAATGGTGTTAAAGATGCCCAGTGTCTACTACACCCAGTTGTGAAGTAAAGAAGAATTGTTATAAAAAGTTTTAATTGGCATAAATTTTAGCTTTTGTTATTCTGAGTAACATTTTGAATAAAAATTATTCGTGTCCATGTAAATTTATTCTTATAAATATAAAATTAAAGGGAAAAACTGAAATAACTCCAAGAGAAACTCCTGTGAACTTTGACCTATCGACCTGGAAATTTCGCCAGCACCTCACCGATAAGAAAGGCTTAAGTTTTGAATTTGATCTTTTTAGACGTGAAATTTTTTTTTCTTTTTTTTACTTTTTCCTCTCTACGAGCGTCTGTAGTGCCAGATGAAGAGAAAAAGAAAATACAGGGCTTTTTTTTGGCGATTTTGCACTTTTTGATTGCTTCTATTTCGGCAACCTCTTTATAGAAAAATCTGAAATTTTGCACACTATCTAAGAAAACAATTGTCAAAACAAAAGAGATATTCACAATTACTGTAAGCTTTTCGTGGACGGAGAAATAAATCCCGAAAATCGTCAACACTGACTCTTGTACAATACGTATAATCAGACAGTGACTTTTTTACTTGGCGTGGAGTCACTGCCATTACTCTCGATTTTGTCTTCAAGATGTTTCGTGTATCGTGGATTCGTGAGTTTTATTTGGAATAGAGTTAGATTTAACGAACATTTTACTCGTTATTTGTTGAAAAATCGCTCCTTTCTCCGAAATAACATATATCTTTTTTAAAATAATAATTAATAATAAGTTATTAATGATTTTAACTAAGCGATTAAAACCTTCTTTTCAACGTTTTTAACCGAAATTTAAAAATAAATATATTTTAGCATTCTTTAACAGTTACAAACTTTAAGAAAATTATCAGAAAATGTTTGTATTTCCTACCACATATATTGTATTTAAAAATTTTATAAGTAGACTAATTATAAATTCTTTTATACAGAATAAATTATAAAATACCATTTCTTCTGGCTTGTGCGTAAACGTGAGGGCAATTTTTAGCCATAACTTCTTCATAAGCACTTCCCGATCCCGGGTGAAGTTTTTCATTACGATTGAACTTTCCCCAGACGTGTATTAAGTAACTGTCATTAATTTTTCGAAGAACATCATTGGCAGAAGATTTGGAAAAATAATCTTTCCAATCGTTAAAAAATACAGGAAATGCCGCGAATTGATTCAATACAGTAACACCGCAATCATTCTTCTTCTGTACAACATTTACATTTCTTCCAGAACAAAACGATAAAAACACATGAGTAAACAGAGGTGGGCCACCACACACAAAGCAATGACTTTTGTATATTTTTGCAAAAGCTCTCATACAGTTATATGTTATAGGATGATAATACTGCATTCCAAAAATTCCATTAGCAATTCTTTCTTCGGTTTCTTTAATTACAAAATTTTTTAAAGCAGGAAATGGCTTTAACATAACGATGTCCAGATCGGAATATATTCCACCGAATTTCCATAATAGAGCGTATCTAGCAGCATCACTAAAATGGATGATTTTAAACTTACTCTTCTTCCATTTTCCTTGATTATACCATTCCAATAAAGGAGTTCCCTCTAAAACATTTTCCATTGAAGTTCCGGTTATTTCTATATTTGAAAATTGGCGAGTCAAATTGAAGTTATCGTTCACTTTGTTAGGAGTAAACATTAATAATTTTACTGAAAATGAAGGATTATGTCGAGCAGTTGATTCAATGGCACATGCTTGACGATTGTTCAACGTGTAAGCGCCGGAAGTTTCGACGAAAAAAATATTATCACGTGATGTTATTGTGTGATAAAAAGTGCGATAAAGCTTAAGATTAACGGTGTTATCTTTAAAAAAAAGTTTGGAAATTAATTCTTTAGAATAAAGTCTTTTATTTTATATAAATAATAAATTTTATTGGATATTCCTTACCGTAATAAAATGCTGGATACTCATCAAGGATATATATTTTCAAAATAAGTAGTATAAAAATTACAAAAGGTACTAGCAATAAAATACTCAGTTTTCTTTTCTTTTTTATCTGAAAAATATTATAAAAGAATAATGGTTATGTGTATTTAAAGAAAAATTATTAAAAGAAATTAAAGCTTTAATATCTAAATATATATAACTCAAAGGTGACTGACTGACATAGTGATCTATCAATGCACAGCCCAAACCACTGGACGGATCGGGCTGAAATTTGGCATGCAGGTAGATGTTATGACGTAGGCATCCGCTAAGAAAGGATTTTGATCAATTCTACCCCCAAGGGGATAAAATAGGGGATGAAAGTTTGTATGAAACTTTGTCAATTTTAAACCGATCGGGCTGAGACTTTGCATGCATAAAGCTACTATGACGTAGGCATCCCCTAAGAAAGGATTTTGATAAATTCCACCCCTAAGGGGATAAAATAGGGGATGAAAGTTTGTATAAATCTTCTTAGATTTTCGACTGATTGAACTGAAATTAAAGATTGGAGCTACTATGATGAAGACGTCCGCTTAAATAGGATTTTGATAAATTCAACCCCCACGGGGATAAAATAAGGGATGATGGAGGATGTAAATGTATTAGTTTGAACCTATCAGTACCTAATGGAACGAATAAATTAAGACGAACAAAATAATTTTTAGTTCTAAATGTTGACAATAGATGGCGTTAGTAGTATTTTAACGCGAGCGAAGCCGCGGGCAAAAGCTAGTTATTTATATAATTATACTAATGTATCCGCCTATCATCGACTTCCGCCTTCCAACCCTGCCATTTCGCTTTCGTTCATCTGGCAGTATCATAAGCAAAACAATAACGTAACCATTTTCGAATGAAACGAACTATGTCATTGGCCTGCTTATTCAGCTGTACTTAAAGCCACTTTACTGAACAGCTGTCCAGTGGTAAGCCGCACAAACAACAAATCAGAATTCACTAAATTCGACGTCCAGAAATGTGTAGCCGTACAGACTTAGGCCACCTTCTCTGGGAAGTCCAGGCTTGAGTACGAGTGACGATCATTGGAGGTTTTACATGGGTAGTATTTTCTAGATATATGGGATTATCTTTTTTATCACTTGTACACGTTGTAGTCTTGCCCTATCAGGATGATTAGCCTTATTGCTCTAAAAGAAATAAGGCTGACTACCTTACCGCTCTTCTACTATCTTATTTTATTCTTCATCATTATTATTATCGGAAGCAAAACTAAAAATAGTATTGAACTTCTCTTTGGGAAACCGTAATATTAATGTATTATATTCTTATTATGTAATGTTCTGTTTATAATTGTCATGTTCGTATTCTGAAAAGGAAAAATAAATTTTATCAGTGGATTTTTTGAATAACCGAAGAAACCTTACAAGCACGTAGAATCCGGCTTTCAGCGGATTTAATACATACACTGAAACTGGTAATTAAAGGTTGTTTAGTGGTTTTTTTATTCGATCATTGGTGAAAGGTAATTAAAGAAATAATAAGAGATTATACAAATTTTAAAGTTCTCGAAACAAATCCGGAATTATCTGAAAAATAAAGATGTATTAGAATATATCAAGGCTCATTTGTAAATCTGAAAACTCGTATTGAAAGTATTTTAATAAATAAGTTTTCTTTCCTAACTCTTACTTGACTGGAATACAGGGTAGCCTAAAATACAGGTAAACGTAACAGAAGAAAGAATTCACTGTCTCTTGTCTCTCAAAACTAACAAGTGATATGTAATGTTATTATATTTGTTATATACATTACAATATATAAGCAAACAATTGTTTTTGAGGACCTTGTTTTAGACTACCCTAAAACAGTTATTCTTAATCAGTGTGCCATAATTTCTCCCAAGGATCTACAAATTTCAAAAAGCATTTTTTAAAATACTAATAGTTTTTCTACATTTTAATATTACTGTATTTGTATTTTTAATATGAAATATGAAAAATTATAGATCTCGTTTACACTTTTAAGAACATTTTTGATGCCCGTCTGGTGTATTAATATGACACCGAAATTTGTGTGCTCCTACCTTAGAAAAATTAAAAACACTAAAATTTCATTTATTTGATATAAGATAGTAAATACATATTCTATTATTTCGATGTTTGAATATTATTTTTAATAGTCAGTGAGGTTCTTGAGGAGAATTTCGAATTCAGAATAATTGTTTTAAATATATAACTTTTGCTTAAATCTACGAGAAGTTTGAATACTTTTCTACCAAATTGGCCTACAAGAGAACGAGTAAATAAAACCACAAAACACTGATCACGGATTCGTCCTCACCAATGCATCCAGTTTTCCATAGAAAGTCGAGGGAATTTTCTATGGTAAATTAACCCCTATTCAGTTCTACGGATCTTATTTTGGTGTTAGACACATAAAGAAAACCTGGAAAACTCCGCATTTGTTACGTTGCCGTATCGCATAAAACAAATCCAAAATTTTCGGAAAAAAAGTAGAGAGAAAATGTTATCTCTCACTATTTATCGTATGCTTCTGGTTAACCGGATGACATGTCATTAAACATGTGAGATTAATGACTAATCAATAAGGAATAGTAATTAATTAATTTTTCTATTATTTCTGTTATAATTTTGTGTAAAAAAATTTTAGATATTTCACATTATTTTACTTCGCTTCATTAATTTTTTATATAAAAATTTAATGCAGAAAAAATTATTTATTTAAATAAAGAAATAATAAATTTAGTAGAACTTACATGTAATAAATTACTTGGTAAAATGTTTAAAATAGCAAAACGTTCTTTTATGTTTAAAACCATTTTTCATTTTTCATAATTTTCCATTTACTTAACGATAACTAAAATAAAAAATTAAAAAAAATTTTAATAAACTTTATTAAATATAAAATGAAATTAAATTTTTAATTATTAAGCTTATATGAAGAAGATATATAATATAAATCAACTTGTTTAACTCCATTAGAAAATCCTTAGTATGAACGGCTCATATATTCCTTTCCTTAATTTGTTTGGCACTCTGCCTGAGAGCATAAAGAGCATGGAGAAAACTTGCTCGTGGTTCTTCCAGATGCACAATGAGGGAGTCCGGATGTGGGCTTGACACAGATAAAACAAACTTTCCTTGTATTATTCTCCGTATCTGATTCCGGGACCTGAAATCCAGGTAATCTAGACTGGGCAGCACATTACATCTGCCAAGGGGAGAGTGAATCCTAGGAGAACTTTATGGGAAACTATTGATATTATAAACTAAAATCTTTCTGCATTGAACAATGGTAAACCACGCTGCTTGTTCAAGAACGTTAACTTCTGGTTAATTTTCACACTGATTCACACGGATGAAACTAACTTTTTGGTGATCGGCATGACTCTATTGTTAAAGGAAAAGTATGACGTGCAAGGCACAAGGCAAGCCATTACTAATCTGAAGTGTAGAGCATATATTTTAAATTAAATACATTAAAAATAGGATTAAAATTGCAGCCCGGCATTGTGACAATGTCACAATAAATAATTGTGTTCGTACTATAAATAAATTATGTATAGCCTATATGGGTAATTTAAACGAATTTCTTTCGAACGATTTGAAATATTATAAACAAAGCATACTTACTTTTAAAATAAATCTTCATTATGACGCGTACTAAGCGAACAACAATAAAAAATGTGAAAGGTGTTCACGGCAACTGATAAAGAAAAATTAAATGATAAAGCATTATCGTATTGCTAGCCAACGTTAGATTAAACTTTTTATTATTATTCCTCTAAAATCATTACTTTTATTTGTCAGAATCAACAAATTTAGGCCAAATTCTCAAAAAAGAAGATGCATCATTTCTCGCTGTTATTTATTTTTTCATAAACCCTCCAGTAGTTGAACAGGTTCCATTAGACTCCTTTTTAAATCACCCGCCAAAAGCATAGTGGATAAAACACTAAGTGTTTAGAGGTTTATAAAAAAAATCCAGCAAAAGTTGGTTAACTTTTCCAGCAACATTTAAAACTGTATGTGTGGCGCCATCTGTTGTAAATATTTTATTATTAAACATTTTATTTCATTATAACCGACCCTACCAGAGATAAGACACACAACCCTATTTATCTCCCCACCTCGTCGATTTCTGACCACCAAAATTTAATTATAAGCGATGCATTAATTTTTTCATAACTTAACCATAAATTAAATGATTCCTACAAATAAAAGTTATTAGATAAACGATACATAAAAAATAATCTAATCTAACGTTTTCAGTTTTTTGAATGCAATGAACTTTGATATATCTTAACACAACCTAGTGATAATGTTTTGCTGTGTAGAGGTTTGTAGTGTAATTTGTTTTGAAAATTCAAATTCTTCATAACTTTTCACTAATATTATTTTAATTACTAGTTCCAACTTTACTTTCGTAAATCATAATAATAAATAGTGAAAAAGTTTTCGAATTTAACAAATATTTTAATGAATGAGCATTAAGAGAGACGTTTAACAATCATCATGATTATCAGACAATACGGATTGTTTATGCAGCTTGCAATTGGTTTAAAATGTCGAATGGATACTTTTAATCGCTTAATTAAAATCGCAAATAATTTATTATAAAAAAAGAAAAATGTCAGTTAATTTCTAAACAAATTGTAAATACAAATAACGAGAAAATATTCGTCAAATCTGACACCATTCGAGATAATCCTTCTAAATATCTCATCCAATAACCTTTTAATTCCAAAATTTAAAAGAATCCACGCTTCATTTACAGAAATAACCGTATCAACTATGAAAATTTTTAGTTTATCCAGTCCTGAGAAATAATGAAATTTAACCTCCCCACAGAAGAAGAATTTTGTGAGAAGAATTCTTGCATTTTTGAGCTATTAGCATGCCAAATCTTTGAGGAAAAATAAAAACCAATGGGCCTAAATTTGATCAGTTAGCATAATTTCCTTATGTTATATTTATAACATAACAGTCACATTTTCTGTATTCTAATATCCATTGTCAGCTCCAAATATGAATTTAAGAATATTTATACAATCACACATAAACTTTGA